TTTGTAAATAGACCTAAGGTATATAGAAACCTTAATTCTGTGGCCTATCTGAATGATATGTTTTGCTATTGAAAAAAATAGTCCTCTGATATCAAGCTTAATGGGTTCAGTTGATTCAGTTAGCCTCCGAAGCCACTCTGGAAAAATTTGTCGAGGCCTTAAGAAGATTGAGTCACATTGGGTTCATAAACAATTTATCACATTAAATATCCCTTGGTAAGTTCCACTCTGAAACCAAGTCCCATATACTATTATTTCCGCTCGATTGATTTTCATTGTTATTTTGACCTTTAATTTAGCCTTCTTACTAGACCTCTTTTCTCGTATTCTCACCCCTCATCTCTTCTTGTGTTTTCATATAAATACCTATGACAAGTTCCTATGTGATCAGATTGTTCAAAATAGGTTGCGTAAGTACATCACACGATTCAGAAAAATTGCCAATGATACTGCGCATACTTTAAGAACCACTGCTGTTCCATATAACTGATCCAGTTTATAATTCTGAGTTGGACAATAACAAATTTGCACAAAGTGGTAAATTCCTTGCATTTTGTGTTCTCTTTTCTAAGCAAATACAGGCTAAAACAACTAAAGGACATTTACGAGAAAATAATTTACATATCACTGGAGTTAAAGAATGTTGTCTGTGAATCAAAAATCACAAAGAATGAATTGTACACTAGTTGATCTGTGGAAACTAGCCGATTGAATCTCCACTGTTGTCATTAGGCTAAGTGATGTGGCACTAGTGTTTAAGTGTTGGTACATACCTGGTTTGTAAAACTTCATCACTGCTGAGCTCTCAGGACTTGATAGCTACAACGACTGCAATCTGGTCATCGATTCTTGTGCAAAATACGATCGAAAAAGTGTAAATAGCGTAAATTCATAAGTTTGAGTAGAAGAAAGTAGAAATTTAGACTGAAGTTGTTCAGGGTAAAATAACTTAACACACATTGTGATCTAATTAAGAAAAGAAAAGTGGTGTAGAAGTAACTCATCTAGGTTAAACAGATAGTTGATTCGAGTGAATACTTATTTTGCTTAAACGTTTCACGAATCTCAGCCTTTAAATCTGAAATTCTGATATAATAATCGAATATACCTGAATTGTCGATCGATGATTAATTAGTGGACACCGTATAACCAGTATACTTCAGTGTATTATTATTCTTACCACAATTAATTCTAACTTCATTTGGCTTCGTACCTACTGTCGGATTAGATGTCCACCTGCCATGAGGTTTGATTTGCTTTATACGACGCTCAGTGTCAGATTATTTGACATCACTAACATCCCGTCCACCAACTACACATTTGTTAATTACCTGTGAATACTCTATGTGTGTAAGATTATTTTTCCGAGTTTAGTACTCAAGAGTTGGACCTGACGAGGCTATATTGAAACTTTGTATTCGCTCAGTCGCCTTTTTAATCTTATCATGAGAATTTTCTTTGAGTTAGAAAACTTAAGGTAGCATTCATCATGGACTGATATCAATTAGTGAACCATTGAAAACCTGAGAGCGCCAGACAGCTGTTTTGTCCTAGTACTGCTGAGGAGTCCCATACTATGGCAAAATGGCTGTTCAGTGCTTCCAGGTTTTCACTCTAAATGTCGACATAAATTTCTCATCAGGGGACAAATTCATAATTACTTTTGACTGTCTTCTTCGACAAATAAAGTTGCTGAGAGGCAGCCAACTATGGAAATTCCCGTATTGTCCATTCCATGTAGGCTTCTTAGAAATTAATCTCTGAAGAGAGCCATCTGGTCTCCATTTCCATAAGACATTGTGAATATCGAATTCTGAGTTCTTTTCAAATTTTGATGTGAAGTTGATCAATGAGTGACAATCATTGAACTTTGTAACTACAGTTCCAATATCAGTATTTTGATCACGTATGATATATTTATCATAAATCTATCTATTATGTAGGTAGCAACTGTCAATTGTTGAATGATGTATACTTATCTGTAGGTTTGTCATAAAGCAATCAGCCCTTGACTTCCGACTACTTTGAAATTTTAATGTCGCCCCTCAGTATTATCTTGCATAGTTTCACTTATGGCTAAAAGTCACTGTCCGAATTTTTTTCACAGTCTTCATCTACTTTATAAATAATTAGAAGTTAATTCATTAATTAATGGTCCTAGATATCTTTACTTACGATGTAATAGCTAACAAGTCCCAAGTGTGGTGAAACGCGCTACCTATATTCCACTGCTAGCCACTATCAATCATCATTAGCAAAACAGATATCATTAATTTGTTGTCTAAGAATTCCACAAATAGCTTTTGACATAATTTATAAGACTATGGCGAGCAGGTTATTCACGGCTGTTAAGTGTAACTGGTCATCTTATTATAAAACATAAATCGGCTGACATTTGTTCATTCAAGATAATTTTGTCTTGTAGTGCACTTTCCTGGCACTAAAATGCAACTAGGACCAAGTAATTCACAATGTTAAGCTCAGTGGTGCCTTTGAAGTAAAGACAGGAGTAAAACAAGCCTGCCTACTATCACCCATGATATTCCTGATTGTGGTCGACTGGATCATGCAACAAACAGTGGGAAGCCTGAAGAGGGGGATACACTGGACTGCGGAAAAGAACCTAGAAGATCTGGATTTCGCCGATAACTTATGTCTGATGTCACACAAACTTGAAGATCTACCAGGCGGAAACAAACAAGTTGGCAGAAGAGGTGAAGCAGCGAAGACGGGACTTCCTTCAGGTGAATATAGAGAAGACAGAGATGATGAAGATACCCAACCAACACCCCCAACAACAACTATAGAAACAACAAGCTCCAATCACCATGAAAGGGAGAAACTTAAAGGAAGTAGCCTCCCTCACCTATCTAGCAAGCACTGTTTCAACTACAGGCGACGGCACAGACGAGAACGTCAAAGTCAGGGTCAGAAAAGAAAGACAGGTGTTCATTAACCTGAAACCAGTGTGGAGATCTTCTGCACTCAACATGTGGAACAAGATCCTGATTTTCAACATCAACATCAGTCAAGTCAGTGCTTCTGTATGGCTCAGAGACTTGGCGCATTACGAAATGGAATTTCCAACAAACTACAGACATTCACCAACAACTGCCTACGCTGCCTCGTTACTGAAGATCAGATGGATTGCCAGAAAGAATAAGCAACAAGGAGCTCTGGGAACGAACCAACCAAGAACCTATCACCCTACAAATATGCAGTGGAAGGAAGTGGAGATGGATTGGATTGGGCATAGACTGAGAAGACCGACTGGGGACATCAGGCGTCAGGCCAGGCCGTTGAGTGGGATCCCTATGGAAGTGACGAGTCGGGCGTCCGAGGCAAGGGTGACATGGAGGAGATCGTGTAAGGAAGAAATGAGAGCTTGTGGGCAGTCACGGTGACAGGTTGAAAAGATTTCAGAGAAGAGAGTAAAATGGAGACGTGCTACTGAAGCCTGTTGTTCTATTAGGAACCTAAGGGAATAATAATAATAAATAGACCTCTAGCCCGCCTCCGGACGTCCAAGGTGTTTTATATTTTGTTTTAACGAGCATGCCTCCGAGCAGGCATTGACGCCATTTTGCGCTCCCATTGAACTGGTTAACACGCACATACTCAGAGCCCCTAGTTCAACTTTACAAGCTCGAAAGTTGAATAAACTTTCCCCCTAATAATTACTATTACATTTATTTTAATTAAATATATTGCTTCTTTAATATATTCCTGAATACCAATCCAGTTGATTTGTGTTTCGTTATCGGTACTTACGGGTTAGGAAAGGTACTGATTAAGCAGGTACTACAGCACATCGAGTTTAGTAGGGTTGGTTAAACGTTAAGTAATAGTAACACGATTTACACACTGCCTACATAAGTATCCCTAGAGAGTGTTACTGTCATCCATGCCTCTGACATTCTGGTTTTGAACTATAACTATTGTTCATTGGGACTGAAAATCGTGGGTTTATTCAGTAACTCAGGCAACTTTTATTATGATTTGTGAGGACTCAGAACACCGGTAGATCAGTAAACTTACTGACACCATCCAAAAGCACAAGTAGAAAATGAACTACAGAAAGAGAAACAGCGTGAAAGAAAGCCAAATGAGTCGATTTAGAATAACAGTTCTGAGTGAGATGAAGAAGCGTGAATGAGTTCTTTCCATTGTGACTGATATATAGTCACACTGCTTACGTGTTCAATGATTATTTCTGAATATTTTGAAGACTCTGTCGGAAAGTTTACAGTTCCCTATTTCGGATATCTACGAAGTCGGTGGTTTCAGAAACTTGTTTAATACTGTGGCTTAGCATTCATAAAGAAACTCTTTCCCGCTTCCCATCGGATCTGACACCAAACAGTAACTTAAATGAGTAAATGTGTTCTTAAAGTCTCCTCAAATTATTCGTACTCATTGACTGAAATTCTGCATCTAAAGTTAACATTTTGGATTCAGTTAGAGCACAATGCTTGAGCAATATTTCGAGGACATTAAACTCAGTTTTTATGATCTTTCCAGATTTTCTGTTTTCAGTGGATAAATTATTTGCAATTTCACTCAAGAATAGCTGGTTGTAATATGAAAAACAATTTCATTCATGTATAAATGGATATCAAGACGGATATCAAACCACTAGTATGCATTGCAAACCTTAGAAGTTTCAAATATTCTGCCGAATCTACCAGTTTTTTAGCCGTATTCAGAACAAACAGACAAGTATTATTGTATTGTTTATTTGGTTGTTCAGAAAGTGATATCTCTGTTCTTTTCGTCTAAGTTCACAATAGGTAGATAAACAAAAACGCAGTGTCATCACATCAAAAATATGTTTCTCGATGTCATGATGCTGGAAAACGTAAACAAACGACAAAGTAAAGTGAAATCATTCTCTCAATTTCCAATTCATTAATATAAAAATGGAACGAAAATGAAATATAACGAATCTGTCACGTTGTTATTAGTTTTAAATTTGGCTAGTTTATCCAGTGTTTTTTAAATCAACCATCTGTAGTTCCATTTATGCTGGGACAAAATATTATGTGAGGCGTAAAGAAATTCAACCAGTTGTCTAGAACTGGTGGACAGTTTTTGCGTGCATACCATTCCATAGAATACAAGCAGATCATTTGACCCCAGCCAACAAACAAAGCAATCCAAATGGCTACATTCCAACTACGTCCACTGCCTTGTATGAAAAACAACACATAACCGCCTACAACAAAGAATAGAAATAATACTGGTAAACAGTATCTCAGGCATATCATTAATATGTATTCATGTACTGCAGCTGATAACCAGAAGACGACAGTTGCTGCTAGTGTACGTGACTGATTTCCAAGCAATATTTGGATATCTCGATACACATATGTATATAACCAATCGTGAACAATTACATTCCATGTACGATACCAAACACTGAATGTTGTAGCATTCCACCAGTCTTTGTAGAATAGACGATCACCAAAACGCAGCATTTCAGCAAATGCATTCAGCCACGAATGTAGAAAAGAATAGAATGCAATCAACATTAATAAACCACCTGGTAGGATGCAGGCTGTTGATGTTAGAATATACTTTTTAAATGAAAGTTCGGAGAATTTACCAAGTTGTGAAAACGGTAGGAAACAGAAACGCAAAAATATGTAATAACTAAATATAAGGCAGACGATAACTTGAATGAAGTTCGAGAACACGAAATACCATCGTATACATGGTGTACGTGGATATTTTTCCCGATAGACTAGTGTTGGAGCGAACAAAAAGTAAAGATAACGAGAGAAATTAGGAAATTCGTTGATATCAGTTGATGTACTGGTGTGATTTGAATACTGATTACCGGTTGAAGCTGTGATGTTTGTACTGGTTGTTGTTGGCGATGGTGGTGTTGATTCAATTTTGTCTTCTTCAAATATTGTACTGATGGCATATCTCACGAATGCATGTGACTTCATCATCAGTCGAACTTGTTCCCCTGTTACAATTGTTGTACTAGCAGGCGGTAAGTCAGATGATAGAGTGAGATGGAACGACACTGTGAAGAAGGCCACCTATGAGGTGATTGACAGAAAGGAAAGGACAAAGATAAGGTGAAGATTTTCTTAACAATTACGAAAATATCAGTGTGAAATCTTTTCTCAGTAAGGGGATTATTATACAGTTAAAATGTGAGCTGTAAAACGTTTACTAGTGCCGAAGATTATGCATATGTAATTCATGGAAATGTCAAAACAAAGAGTATATAGAAGAAAATCAGATGATCACTTCACTTCAGTTCAGTAAAACCAACTACCGAAGTTTGAAAGTCTGTCATCATATTAAATTATCCAAATTTCATTGGAAAAAGCTGAATGAACAGACTTACCATTTAAAAAATTCAGTGTTCACACTTTATCTGAATGCGTAATAAACCTTATATTATGGAATTTTAAGTTCCACGCTCAAAAGATTAACTAGGCATTACTGTGAATTTAGGCGGTTTCTACCTCAGATTCGAAAAGATACAAATCAAGTGTGGCTTTCAGGTTGATCATTACATGAGTTTTCTAACCAATAAATGCAGTCAGACGTAGGCATACTACTGAAGTGTAGCTTAAATATAAGGATCTTCTCATCTGTTCTAAATTTAGATAGACATTCATGATAAAGTTGATTGGTTAAATACTAGCAGTAGTGTAGGAGTTATGTGAAACTGCTGTCATCTGCTCCTGATGACTCCCTAAACCAGTTCCTAGCAAATAATCAAAAACAAAGGAGGAGAAGAAGGAGAAACCGGGAAAAGTGTATTCTCCAGAAGTCATATAAATATACTTCAGTTTGTAGTAGAAATAATGTCATTGATGCCCACCTGAATGTGAAGAAAGAAGACATTTTTATTTACTACAGATATACCATACTTGAGTACCCCAGAAAAGAAAGTCAACTATCTACCACAGCGGTTTCCGTCATTCAGAGAGGGGCTGCTCATCACTTTTTTCATGACAAAACTGACTGTATGAATTTACCAAAAGGTGTATAGACATTAATTCCAGTTATGTACAGTCTTTACTAAGTTAGCAGCAACAAAATTTATGTTCGAAACTTCCGTTACTTTTTTGGATGGTGTATTTCTACAAACGTGTACATTTGACAACATTTATGTGTTTTGTGCATAGTTCTAATACTCAATATTTCACATAATGGATATAAATTTTGACCAATCTTAATGTCTTCTTCAGTAAGGTTGCAGTTATTACGAAGTGAGTCAGTACTTCCTGGATTCCTCAAAGAAGTCCAGAATTCGCTGATAGCTTTGACAACCAACCACGGTATACTTAGCATTAGTGAAGAACCATGTGATCATACGGGTAAGTTTAAGATTGGCTAAATGGTTTTTCTAGAAAAGTGAAGGAAACATGTATATAAACCGTTACTTTTTGTACACGTTTGACTTGACAGTAAACCTTTTCACCTTTTCAGCTACTCCTTTCTAACCAAGAGGTCCTGAGGGATGAAACCTAAGGTTATTGTTCAAGAGTTTACTCTCATATATGTTCCGTGTTCCTGGTACACTATCTGTTTGAATTTCCTTTGGCATAACTGTGAGTACAGCGTAACCTAGCTAATTGTCACACATTATGCCAGTGTGTTTACAAATTTTGATTGGCTTCTGTATGATAGTCATTTGATGGTCGAATTTCATTTTATGCAATGACACCTAAATCACCATGGCTCCGTTGATTATTGCTCGGTATACAGAACCACGATCTTAAAACCTTGTTCAATATTTACTTCGAAATATCTTTTGTTGTATTGTAGAGGTTTTCTTACTTGTCAGGAGATACAGTGGTATTTAGTCATAGTATTTGATGATTGAAACATATAAATTCTCAGTTCAACATTTTTGAGTAAGTCGAAACAGTTTAGAATGTCTGTAAAAACTGACACTTGTATTGCATTCTACCAGAGGTTAGGAGTAAATGTCAGTCAATAGCACATTCCTAAATATAGAGGCTTGTAAAACAACCGTCTGAGGAAATAATGAAAGCAGACTGGTTTTCAGTCGAAATTTTAACAAGACGATGAAAAATTACAGTTTTGACGTTGTTTTTAGCCTTGAGGAACAATGAAAGTCGAAATCACTCAAACCTATTCAAATTCATGTAGGTGAAAAATCCGATGAGTGCAGTTGACTTGGTTTCCGCGAAGCGCGACGAATCCCGATTATTAACTAAATATAATATTTTGTGTCATTATTGGAGAGATTATGCAGTTTACTGAAAAATACCAGGTAATGATTGAAAGTTAAGTGGAAATCTAAATCTTGCCACGATTAGAACCGGCAACCTCCGGGTTGCCGGCCGTTACTCCACCAATTGAGCTAAGACATCCAGCAGACGGCCAGATATTAATTTCACTTCAAAATATGCTTCAAACAGTTCAAGACTGAAGAAAGTTTCAGATAGGAAATTAACGGATTTTCTACCACTGAACTTCATTGGATGACTTCTCATAAATTAGGGAAATTAATAGTTTTCTACATGAAAGTCTACTTGTTTATTGATGACAAGGGATAATTATCAGAATTTGGAAAAGTAAATAAAGTTAAACTTGCACTTCACCTCCTCTACAACCATTTGACCTTTTGTTTAGTAATAAACAAGGCCTTACCAGGATTCAACATTGATATTAATGATGGACAGTGGCTAACAGCGAAACCCAGGATACGGGGTTCATCTTATTTGGGACTCACCAGTTGAATGTACCTGCCTCCCAGTGGATGATTTTGTTCCCATCAAGACGTACCGAGGACCGATCGCTTCAAATGCCAAAGCGTTATCCACTAGGTCACTAAGTCACGACAGCTATTCCTTGTGCTATGGGTGTGATATATTTTTAGTGTTATAGGTTGCGGATCTCTATCGTTGACTGGACCTTATGGATCCTCCACCGTTGGGATATGGACTACTTACTGTATGGATGCCTCAATATTGCCTGTATTTTTCAAACTTGATGATAATGATGGATAAGGACTAGCAATGAAATCCTGAACACGGGTTTTGTCCTATTTGGGACTTGTCAAGTAGGTTCAACCAATGACGAGGATGCACAAGCTATGATGTTCAAACTATATTAGACCAAACATACGAGAAGTGGTCACCATAAGTCAGTGGCCTAGTGGATAACGTTCTAGAGTTTGAAGCACTTGGTCCTGGATTTGAGTCTTCGTGGGAGCACCATCTCCCAATGAGAGGCAGATAGGCCTATCTGACGAAACGCACATCCTAGATTACTCAGCTAACCACTATGCGTCGTTTCAATGGTATTGTGCTCGCTGAACTGGATGATCTTATCGTGAAGGACTCATTGTCATTCTTGACAACATCATCAGTACAGATTCCCAAAGAATGTACTCAGTGAGAAATAAGCCACTGAATAGTGGTGGATCAGCAGTTGAGGTTGCTACAAAACCTCATTATTCGACAAACACTTAATTTACTTCTATTAAGCTAATTATTCAGGATGAGTGTTCATCAGTGTTTTGAAACATATTGAGCATTGAGTTAGTAGAGAAGATTTGCAGCTTTTTTATTAGGACATAATTATTTAGTGTACTTTATGGTTTGATGTTAGCTCGTGGACGTTCTATCATTGGACTAGACGACTTCATTAGCATTTATCTAGCATAAGAGTCAAGCATTCTTAGGCTACATGAATGTTTATACAGGATACTTGGCCATCTTGAGCGTTACTGACTCGCGGGTAAAGATGACGTATCTTTCTTTATTACCAGAGGTTGACCTTTATGGTCAATATTATCGTCTGAAACGTGTTGTTGACCTAATGTATGATTACTGATTTGCTTGGTTGATTGATTTGCAGCTGGCTGATCCTTTCCAGTAGGTTGTATATTAGGTGAAAGTCCACTTAACTGCTGATTGCCATTTGATTGGAGTACCGAGCTTTCAGAAGCTCCCTTGCACTCTGCACCTGCGAAAGTCAGAAGAAAATTACCTTGACAAGATGTTCAGAGCCAGGGGCTATCCACTCAACTTCATCGAGAAATGCCTATCAACAAAACATACATCAAGACGATTACCATAGCTTGCAAAAACAAATCATTCGACCATGTATTGAAGATATTTTAGAAACTATCAGCTATTTACTGAATCAATTAAGTATCAGCGTGGCACACAAAGTGGCCAAGTACCTGCAGAATACTTTGTGAGGGATAAAGGATCCATTAGCCAAAGAAGGTAAGACGAATATAATCTAATTTGGAGGTTTGTGGAGACTTACTGATTCATTTCAGGTTGATATTCATCATTGACTGACACCACTTGCAGAACCATTGGAAACCTGGAATCACTGCACTGAACTGATAAAAGTAGGAAACGTGGACCATTGGCTGCCGACCCAATGTCTCAGTGGAAACGCACTGGCCGTGAAACCTGAGGGTCCTTGGCTCAATCCCTGACACGATCATAGATGCGCACTGCTAAGGAGTTACACACTGTGGTGAAACGGCTGTCCCAGGTTTCTGATGGTTCTCTAACTGATGTCGCTTCACGATGAATATCAACCTGAATATAACCTTATAATTTAGTTGCAAGGACTGTCAACATCACTATATTGGTCAATCCAGTCGACGAATTGGCCCAAAGATTTACAAACACCAACATTTAGTCAAACGGCATGATATATACTCATTGATTTTGGTGCGTGTAATTCAACTAATTCACAACTTCAATTGGGACAACATTGAAATACTACAACATGCAAACTCAAAAACTGCAACAGAGTTCCTGGAAGCGTAATCCACCAGTCAAATGGCAATCAATAGACACTTGGACGCTGACCCAATATGCTACCTACTGATAACCAACTGGAAATCAATCAGTCAAGCAAACCATTGATCAGATATAAGGTTAACGGCATGCGTCAAACGATAACAACAATCACAAAGATCGACCTTTGATAAAAAATAAGGAAGGTCATTTCTACCCCCAAGACAATAACGCCCAAAGTTGGCAGATATCCTTTATGCAGCTTTAAAATGTTTGACTGTTAT